GAACCTGTGGTTAAGCCATGCCCTGGGGCTGTCCCCAGGCCCCTGGCTTCCATCCTTCTGTCCTTATCTGTTACCCAGTTAATGTCTCTGCTCAACCTGGAAACATTTTCTTAACGACAAAATAAAATCATAGGTTAAAAATCTCGAGCTGTAAAACAGCAGATGACGTTGTGTGGGCAGCTGCCCAGAGGACACAGAGCGCACGTCTCCTGAGTGGGTGGCCTTATAAGGACAGGTTCAGGAGGAGAGTGGGCAGGAGGGAGGGCCACCCACCGGGGGAGGGCGAGGCTGGGCTGGGGGTGGGTGCCCCACCACGGGGGTGGGTGCCCCACCACGGGGCTGGGTGTGGAGCCCGCAGGGGTGCCTGGCTAGGACCCCATTCCATGGGGGGAGCTGGCAGGGTGCAACCTCCAGCGGCCCTCATTGGGCCAAAGCCTGCCTGTCCCTCCGCCTCCACTGCGTCCCCGGCACAGGCAGTGACCCGCTCTCAGCTCCTCCAGGGCAGAGGCCGTTTCCTGTGCTCCATCCCGCCGTCCCCACTGCTGTGTGGTGTGCAGTGAAGGTTTGCAGGGCGACAGAAGCAGCACATGAATGGCTCCTTCGTTGTAGTTTTGGCTCATCAGCTGGGCTGCAGCACCTGGAACTCGGGGCAGCGTCTTCTCCCCGGGACTGGCGCAGGCTGAGTAGGCGCTTAACAAGGGATTTGGTGGTTGAGTGGGCACTGCCCGTGCATAGAGCTAAGTGGTCAGTTTTTGCCCTGCTCAGGATCACCTTTGTCCCCAACATGTAGGCACGCATACCCCAAATGTCCTCCAGATAGTGCCTGTGGCAGGCTTTCACTCCCACTGAAGACAGAGTGTGTGTGACAGAGAGGGAAGTCCTGGGAGAGTCCTGGGAGAGTAAGATTCTTCCGCCCTCATCATGTCTAGGAACCAGGGCCTGGCCCTTGGGATGGGGGGGCGGGGTGGGGGAGGGGGCTGCACCAGGAGGTCTTGTATCAAAGAGGGGCTCTGGAAGCTTTCCCCAAGCCCTCATTAGGAAAGATTCTTCCCTGAGCTCCCTAAAGCCCCAAGTCCTCCTCTCAGTGAGTCTGATTACAGACAATGGATGGTCACCGCTTCCCTTTGCCAGCTTCTGCTGTGCCTAAAACCCTATCTCTTATGAGCCATTACTCTGAAGTGAGCATTGCCTCCTCCCCAAGTCCTCTTTTATTTATTTTATTTTTTGAGACAGAGTCTTGCTTTGTTGCCCAAGCTAGAATGAGTGCCGTGGCGTCAGCCTCGCTCAGAGCAACCTCAAACTCCTGGGCTCAAGCAATCCTTCTGCCTCAGCCTCCTGAGTAGCTGGGACTACAGGCATGCGCCACCATGCCTGGCTAATTTTTTCTATATATATTAGTTGGCCAATTAATTTCTTTCTATTTATAGTAGAGACGAGGTCTCGCTCTTGCTCAGGCTGGTTTCGAACTCCTGACCTCGAGCAATCTGCCTGCCTCGTCCTCCCAGAGTGCTAAGATTATAGGCGTGAGCCACCGCACCCGGCCCCCAAGTCCTCTTTTAAAAGGCAATGGGTTACCACGTCAGTCACGGAAAAAGAAAGAAAAAAAAAAAAAAAGGCAATGGGGCCAGGCACAGTGGCTCACGCCTGTAATCCTAGCACTGTGGGAGGATGAGACAGGAGGATCACTTGAGGCCAGGAGCTCGAGACCAGCCTCAGCAACATAGCAAGACCCTGTCTCTAAAAAAATATATATATTTTTTAAATTAGCTGGGTGTGGTGGCATGTGCCTGTAGTCCCAGCTACTCAGGAGGCCAAGGCAGGAGGATCACTTGAGCCCAGGAGTTGGAGGCTGCAGTGAGCTATGATGGAGCAAGATCCTGTCTCAAAAGAAAAAGAAGGCAAAGGGTTTCCCCGCAGAGGTCAACAAAGGAATTCTTCCATCTCCAGAGAGCACAGGACAGGGCAGCTGGAGGTCAGACTGGTGTTGGGAGAGGCTGGGAAGGGAGGAGGGTCCCGGACGGGGAAGAGGTTCCTGACTTCTCCAGGTGATCTTCGGAGGCCAGCTGTGACCTGAGAGTGTGTCCCCCTTCCCCATGCCCAGAGTGGAAGGGTCAGGGCTAAGAGGAGCCGCTGGCAGCCCCTTAGCCGGCCCCGCTCCCCGTGCCAGGCGGTTGCTGTCAGCTGCACAAGGTCAAGTCAAATCGAAGCAAGAGCAGCCGAGGCTCCTGCCAGAGGTGAGAGAGGAGTGGTGCCAGCTGTGCTTGCTGTGCCAGCGACGGCCAGCGAGGGCCCAGCCGTGCCTGCGGCCCCGACTCACGGAGGGGCTGCCCCACCTGCACGGCAGCTATGAGAATAGAAGCTCAGAGGGCCACACGGGAGGCCTGCTCTGCTGTCCTTCTGTCCTAAAATAGAAATGTCCCTTGTATAATACAAATACAAGACACAACAAAGCTGCCTTCTGTGATTGCCTGAAATCCTGCCACTAGGCATGTATTATTTTGGGTTAAGCAGTGCCTCTCTTTTGGTAGGCTGCCTAGTGAGTCCCCAAAGACGTCCACATCCTAATCCCTAGAACCTGTGAATTGTTACCTTCTCTGATAAAAAGGACTTTGCGTGCCAGGCGCGGTGGCTCACGCCTATAATCCTAGCACTCTGGGAGGCCGAGGCAGGAGGATTGCTCAAGGTCAGGAGTTCGAAAGCAGCCTGAGCAAGAGCAAGGCCCCATCTCTACTAAAAATAGAAAGAAATTAATTGGCCAAATAAAAATATATAAAAAATTAGCCAGGCATGATGGCGAATGCCTGTAGTCCCAGCTACTCAAGAGGCTGAGGCAGGAGGATTGCTTGAGCCCAGGAGTTTGAGGTTACTGTGAACTAGGCTGATGCCACGGCACTCTAGCCCGGGCAACAGAGTGAGACTCTGTCTCAAAAAAAAGGACTTTGCAGGTGTAATTAAGGATCTCCAGATAGGGGATTATCCTGGATTATCTGAGTGGTCACAATGTAATCACAAGGGTCCTTCTAAGACGGAGGTGGAGGATCAACCAGACTGAGGGCAATGGCACTTTCGCTGGGAAGGGAACACACAAAGAACTCGTGGTCTCAGCCTGAAATGGCTTAGGAGACATCCCTGCTGTCAGTCGGGAGGCCTTTGTCAACCTGCTGGCACTGGCCTCTAAGGGAACATGATGGGGACACAGAGGAGGTGTGAAGGGACTGCAAGAACCGAGATAGGATTTTCTTCATCCTGTACACTTGGGCCAGGCCTTGGCGTGCTGCCTGGAGCTGGGACGCCACCATTCTCCTGGCCTCCTCTCCAGGGGCCACCTTGTTCCAGACCATGCCTTTAGGTCACTTGAGTGTGTCATGTGCTGTTATTTCAAGAAGCCAGCAAGGCAGCCACCTGATCCTTAATATTAGCTGTGGAGATTGGCCTTCTCCCAGGTGGCACTCCCAGAATCTTCTGCTCCAGCCACCTTGAACCCTGCTGACCAGAGAGGCTGAGTCAGGGGTGGAGAGGTTCTCCCGGGTTTTCCGAGTTGGATTATAAATGCTGGAGATTTGTTGACCATATAATGATGAGGACGATCAGAGTAAAGGCAGTAGTGGTTACGGGATGGGGAAGGGTATAGGTATGTATAAATAAGTAAATAGCAACTAGATACCACGCCACAGGCTTCCTGTGTGACATCCCGCTCAATCATCACAGTTGGAAAGTTTCAGCATCTGTGTTTTAGAGATAAGAAACTGAGGCACAGATAGGTTATGTGACTTTCAAAACGTCACACAGCTAGCTAGTGGTAAGGCTGTAGTTTCAGCTCAGATCTGATTTCAGAGTCCATGCCTCTACCTACCACACTATTCTGCCTCATAAAAATATTTTAAACTAATTTTCCCATCTTCTCATTTTCCAGCAATAATTTTCTAAAAATGGACAGGTTTGGAGCAGGTGGGAGAAGGATGGGAGTAATGAGTGGGTGAGGGCCTGCCAACTGGTTGCCTCTAATCAGGAGGACTTCATAAAGTGGCAAACTGAGGCCGGATTACCTTAATCATAAACATAATAGCTGAGGACCTATAACATCTTAGGACCTATTGCATCTTAGGAATTACACTTTAATATTGCTGTCTTTTCCAAGTGTAGTTTTATTTTTGGCAACAGACACATGACCAGCTTTATGCCATCATGCCTGTTTTCTCAAATAGTTTTGCATTGCCTGCAAATTATTCAAAGCAAATTTTAAGGCCAAAGAATATTTTTAATGTGATTTCAAGTTGGCAGGCATTGAGGTTTAGCGGGGTTGAAGCCCTGAGAAATGTGAAAGCTTTTATTTGTTTTTTGTTTTTTTTTACAGATCTGAGCTCCATGTCCAGCCCTGTTTGCAGGGTGGAGGGCCAAGAGGTTTTGATTCTGTGTTGATTGCCATAGGTCCTTGCAGAGAGCCAGCCAGGAAGGGCAGGGGCTTCAGTGCCTTGGGCTCTGACCTCTGCTTGGCTGAGTCTACCAGGCCTCTGGAAACTGGTCCCTTCAATCCTTGGGGTCCCTAAAGGATAGGCCTGGGGTGACTGGAGAGAACTCTGGTCCCCACCGCCCCATCCCCTAAATGAAGAAAGACTGACATAGGATCACAGATTGTCAGAGCAAAAGAGGACCCAGACTGGCTGGTCCTGAGGGGCACACACACTGGCCATGGCCTGTTACATTGTAAAGAATCCCCAGAGAGCTTCCTGCATGGAACAAAACAGATTTCTGGGGGCTGCCAAGCTGAGCTTTCTGAATCAGAACATGCAGGGCTGGGGCCAGGGACTCTTTAACAAAGTCCCCAGGGATTATTATGGAGAGCAGCCAGGTCTGCAAACTTTTGACCTGGTCAAATCTCAGTACTTTTCCTGGAGAAGCTGAGGCCCAAAGAGGCCTTGGGCCAGACATGAACAGACATAAAATCAGAAATCAGCTCTTCTGACCTGCAGTTCGATGTCCTTTCCACACTAAGACCAGGATCCAGCAGGACTCACAATAGCGGTCCATCATTTAGTCATTTTAATTTTCTTAACATCAAAGTTACTAATGCATACGGTTTAAGAGTCAAATACAGATAGTTTTACAAGGCTTGTATGAAAAACACAGTTCCTTGCCCTGCTCTCCCATCTGCCCCCCCCCCCAAGAGGCAACACCTTCAACTCTTTCCAGCTGATTCTTTTGGTGTTTACTCCCCCTTGGCATTGTTTGTGTTTTCATACTGAGGAACCATGCATCGCTCTGTTATTCTTACTTGGTTTAATAATGCAGTTAGGATGGATTGCCAGGCCTGGCCCTGGACGAGAGTGCCCAGCGGTCACTGCGCGCAGGCCACCAGCTCCTCCAGGGCTTGCTCTCGGCGGTTGCCATGGACCAGCAGCACCTCCTTGATCCGGTCCTGCTGGAAGCCCATGTCGCTGAACTGTTCCCAGAGGCGCAGGAACTCCCCTGCCTGGGAAGAGAGGAAAGGAGGGCGCTGCTGGCTCTGGGAGGCCCGGCCTCAGCCTTGGGGAGCCCTCGCCCCTGTGCCTAGTCCCAGCAAGCTGTGGTCCCCCGGGGCCAGGTGACATGATTCTGGGGAGGGAGCACCCTCCTCTCCCAAGGAAAGAAGGTCCAGTCTGGCCACGGGCTGTGTCCCGGCTGCACTGCCACCCCTCCCACTGGGCGCTGGGCGCTGTGCTCTGGCGCTGGGGCAGGAAGAGGCAGGCGGCACACTGGTGCCCAGAGCGTGCACAGCACGGGGGCTCTGTGCCCTGAACACTGCTGGGGCCCACAGCGCAGCCTCTGCCTGCCTTCCCCCTCTGACCCTGGAGCTCAAAACTTCACCTCTCCTCCCTCTTTCCACTTGGGCATGTCACCCACTCCTCCGTCCCCTCGGCCTCTGTGAAGAACTCTCTGGCAGTTGTAGACAGGATTCCAAGCATCATCAGGCACTTAGAATTTACTGTTGGGCACACACCTGCGTGCATTCTGGGTGGGCGGCAAACTCCCCGAGTAGAGAGTTCTAGCATCTTTGCACTGCCCGTGGCTCCTATCTGGGTGTCTGACAAAGAGTGGCATTCAGTAATACCTGCCGTGTTGACTCAGTTAAATAAAACAAAGCCCCTGCTCCTCTCTGCCTCCTATCTCCCCTCCACCTCTTCCAGGTCTTCCTCTGTTCCTCCCGCCTTCACTCAGGCTTCAGCTCCCTGGCCGGCTCCTTCTCCCCAGGGCGGGGCAGGCAGGCCTTCTCCTGCGGGGCCCCAGGCTGGCTCTGCCACCAGGGTTGTGGGGCACCCTCAGCCCTCCCAGCCCTCTGGGGCCCTGGCAGGAGGCCCTGCTGACCTGGCTCTCGGAGAACTGGAACATCTCCATGGCCTCCTCCACCAGGCCTTCCTCATAGCCCTGCCGCAGCAGCCGGTCGCAGGCGCTGAGGTAGCTGAGGAACTGGGAGGGAGGGGACAGAGAGGAAGGGGTGGTGAGAGGTGTGCTGGCAGCAGGCGGAACGGGCAGGCTCCCTGGGCAGCCCACCTCATGCAGCCAAGAGAAGAGGAACAGAGGCCTCTTCTGACAATCTGGGGACAGGTGGACAGAGGGTCCTCACCAACTGTCCCAAGCTGGGGGCTGGAATCTAGGAACAGGGCTGTCAGGGGGGGGTAGGGAGTTCACAGAGCCTAAGCAGGGAGCAGGACAGGCTTCAAACAAAGGTATCTCACCTGCCACCCCATGTATTCCTACACACCTGCACCCGCGCATGCGCCCTGGCCTGTTTTCCCATCCACACTCGTGCACCTCCACCCCCGGACACTTCTCTGTCATCGGGGACTCCGTGAGCCCCTACTGTGCAGCAGTCCTGTCCCAATACAGGAGAGGGGTGCAGGCCTGAAACCTATTAGCGTCATCAGGGGCTACCTTACCCTCAGGAAAATGAGCTGCCTCCTTGCTGGGGCTCCAAGCCCTGCTCACCTGCACACAGCCTCAGTTCCCCCTCCCCCCGCCAGGCGTCTGCATCTGCTGCTCCCTCAGCCAAGGCCCCTTCCTTGCCCCTCAGTCCGTGTCCCCTGTGCTTCCCCTGCACAGCCCGTCTCGCTTTGTAATTGCTTCCCTTAAGCTTTCTTATCTCTCTCCCCCCCACCAGCTTCTCCCCCCACGAGGCAGGGGTTGTCTCGTTCGCCATTGTGTCTCCAGCACCCAGCATGGGGGGCAGAAGCGGCTCAATAAATGCATGCTGTGTTTATAAAATGAAGGAAGTCTACATCAAGGAACTCTCAGAGTAGTGGGGGAGATAAACCAGATACGGGACGCCACCAGTGCCAGGCACATCAGAGCAGGATTTATGGGGAGTGGGTGCCAAGTGAAGGCTCCAGACAGTAAGAATCATGGCTGCGCGTGCAGAAGGCACAGGTCGGGTTTCTGCAGACCTTCAGAGCTGGGCTGAAAACATGGATCATCTAGACTAATAGTTTTCAAACTGTTTTAGCTCCTCAACTGTTGGCCCAAGCTCAAGGAAGCTCCAATAATAACAGGATAAGATCAGGGCTGCTTTTGGAGGACTGAGGCCGGGGGACATGGGAGCCTGGAGTCCAGTGCTCCTGCCCATGACGCCTGGACCTTGCTCTGAGGACATTTTGAAAACCACTCACCCAAGCCCTCCTTTCACAGTTGAGGAAGCTGAGGTCCAGGTGGGGCAGGTGGCTTGCCCAGGGTCCCAGAACGAAGGCCCAGATCACCTGCCCAATCTCTCAGTCAATGCCTTGTCCATCAGAGGCATCAGCTGCTAGAGGAGGGCTTTGGGCGGTGCTAGAGGACAGGGCTTTCTAAGAGAAGCCTTCCCCTTCAGAAGGAGGGCGGGAAGGGCAGACGGTGGACGTTCCCTTCACCTTGCGACTCACCCACAGCAGTGGCTCTCAGCCTCAGTGCTCACTGCAGCCACCTCTGGAGTTTTAAAACTACTGATCCTGGGCCTCATCTCCAAGGTTTTGCTATAATGGGCCTGGGGGCAGCCTGGGCATTGAGAGTTTTATAGCTCTCCAGGTGATCCTAGTGTGCGCCCAAGGCTAAGAATCACTGACCAGGGACAGCTGACCTTGAGCCATGCCAGGTTGGATATCAGAACCATCTTCAGATCTTTTAAAATTATAGGCCCCCAGGCCCACCTCAGATCCAGTGACTGGGACCCTTCAGCATGGGGCCTGGGAGTCTGGATTTGCAAAGATTCTGCTGCTTATTCAGCTTGTGGCAGGAAGGAAGGAGTGATGACAAAGCTTATTTTCTGTGTCTCTTTCCTCTCCTGGACTCTAAGCACCCTGTCTCTATAACCTGATGTCCTCCCTCCTGGGCCATCTTTTGTTTATCTTGGCCAAAAAAGGATTTACTGCAGTGTGTGTCTTTCAGTGGGAGAAGGAATCCGAACCCAAAAGAGTCGCTCAGTTAATAGAACTTCATAGAATGGAAAGAAAAACTTATTTGGTGGAGGAGGATAGATGAAGTCATCCAAAGGCCCCTCGGGTCCACCCCTTGGGGCCTGGCACCCGACTGCCCACTAGGGAAGAAGGCCAGCCAGAGATCCAGGGGGCCAGGCAGGTGGCCAGTCTATATCTGGAAACATAATGTTCCCAATGCAGGGAAATCCTTCCAGCCCACCTACCGGGAGCCCAGGGCCTTGTGCTGGCTCTGACTGATCTTCAGACCTCCACCATGATGGCCTGAGGCTGCAACCTTGTCACAGGGCCTGGAGGGACTAGAGAGACATGTCAGAGCCCCACTGTGCACCTGGCCCCTCACAGTCATCCTGGCCTGCTTCCTGGCCAAGGCCCTGGTTTTTGGTGGCTGTGTAAGGTAGGAGCAACTTTACATCTGCTCTTAAATCTCCTATCAGCTTGGAATGCTGTCCTAGGAGGTTCTCAGACAGAAAATGCGAGAAAAAGCACTGTGCAACCAAGATTCGGAGTTGGACCATCCTGGCCTGAACCCCAGTGCTGCCATTGACTGGCTGTATGAGCCTCTCTGGCTTCAGTTTCCTCATCTGCAAAGTGAGGAAAGTATAATAATAGCAACCAGCTGGGTGAGGTGGCTCACGCCTGTAATCCCAGCACTCTGGGAGGCCAAGGCGGGAGGATCGCTTGAGGCTTGAGGCCAGAAGTTTGAGACCAGCCTGGGGGACAGTGAGACCTCAGTCTCTACAAAAAATTTAAAAGTTACCCAGGCCGATCCTTCTGCTAAGGCACCTAATGGGTGCAGTGTGCACCATCTGGGTGATGCACATGCTTGAAGCTCTGACTTGGGTCGGGCAAAAGCAATATACATAACCTAAACATTTGTACCCCTGTAATATGCTGAAATAAAAAAAAAAAATTAAAAAAGCAAACACCACAAAGGGGAATGTTACATTCAGGTGGAGGGAGGGGAGTGCAGGCAATGGCATTCAATGTCACCTCCTGACCCTGCTTACAGTTCTTCCATGCCTCCCTTTTGCCTACTGGGTCATTTACTGAATTCTCAGCCCAGCCCTCAAGGCACCCTTGTCTGCCCCCAATTCCCCTTGTCTTATCCCCTCCAGCCTGCCTCATGCACCTTCTCCTCCACTGAGACTGGTGGGATTAGGGCCTCCCAAACCTTTTCTTCCTGCCCCCACTGCTTTTTTCACACTGTCCCTCCTGCCTGGAATGTCATCTCTTCTCCTTTCTTCAAAGTCAGATCTTATCTATCCTTAAAGTCCAGCACAACACTTTCCACTTCCATGAGGCCTTTCTATTATCTTTTTTTTTGAGACAGAGTCTCACTTTGTTGCCCAGGCTAGAGTGAGTGCCGTGGCATCAGCTATTTACAGCAACCTCAAACTCCTGGGCCCAAGCAATCCCACTGCCTCAGCCTCCTGAGTAGCTGAGACTACAGGCATGCGCCACCATACCCGGCTAATTTTTTGTATATATATATTTTTTAGTTGGTCCATTAGTTTCTTTCTATTTTTAATAGAAATGGGGTCTTGCTCAGGCTGGTTTTGAACTCCTGACCTTGAGCAATCCACCCGCCTCGGCGTCCCAGAGTGCTAGGATTACGGCGTGAGCCACCGCGCCCGGTCCTATTATCTTTTCTAGCTGCAGGAATGTGGTTCATGAAGTCTTTCTTGATCACTGGAACCTCCTTGTGGTAAAGTGAGAATGACTATAAATTCACTGAAGTCCTTCCCATCAAGAGGTAGAGTCTGTTTTTCCACCCTTTAAATCTGGAAGTCAAGCAAGTGAGTATGGTGGTGACCCCTGTAATCCTAGCTACTTGGGAGGCTGAGGTGGGAGGATCACTTGAGCCCATGAGTTCAAGACCAGCCTAGGCAACATAACAAGGCCTTGTGTCTTTAAAAAATAAATAAATCTAGGATGGTCTAAGACATGCTTTGACAAATAGAATAAGGCAGAAGTGACTGTGTACAATTTCAGCCTAGGCCTCAAGAGGCCTTGCACCTTTCACTCTTGCATGCTTAGAACTAAGTGGGCTAGCTAGCTGGAGATGTGTGACCCCTGGCAAGTGTTACCAACCACTGGACTGAGAGTAAGGCCATCTTAGACCATTTAACCCCAATTGAGTTACCCATATGAGAGACCCCAGTGAGATGAGCAGAAGAACCACCCAGCTGAGCCAACCCCAAAACTGCCAATCTAGAGAATCAAGAGCAAACAAATTATTTTTGTATTAAGCCACTAAGTTTGGGGGTGGTTTGTTATACAGCAATAGATTACAGAAACACCCCTGCAGCCCTTGTACCCCTTCTGCTCCCCAGCGTCTTATCATTAACACCTTTTTGAAGGCACTTTGGGGGTCCTCACTCCCCTGTGGGTGCTCTCACAGTCTTGGTTTACATTGGGGGTCAAGATCTGCTTCCAAACATTAGAGTGGCTTGGAGTGCTACGCTCTGAGGTCATCATGAGTGTTCACCATTCTTCCAGTAAAGTAAATTCTTCAAGAATAGAACCTGGTCTGGTAGACTCTATAATGTACCTTCCAGATACCACTTCATTGAAGGACTTATTGCCACAAATGCTGAGAGCTGGGAGGTACCCTTCAGGGATTTCCTTAACTGCAGAGATCCACTTCTCCCATGCAAAGCCTGATTGAGGCAGGAGTATGAGGACCTGACCATCTCAGCCCCACTTAGGACAACTCCGAGGGCCATAGATGCTCCAGAGCTGTGGGGTTGGCTGACGCTGTCACTGGGCCTGCATTACTGCTCAACTTCTCCCTCTGCCCACTGCTGCTTGGTCCCCTCCCTTCCACACGAGTTGATCCCCAAGCCCTCCCTACTAAACCTCCTGCATGCCAAATTCCATCTGAGTCTGCTTTCTGGGGAACCCAGCCCACAACACTAGTTTTTGTGTACCTTGGTTTTCCCAATAGCTCCTAACTATATATAAACACCCCGGAAATAGGAAAAGCCCAAGAAATACTCTTGACTAGAGGGTGGATGGGTAAATGAAAAGGCAGGGAGATGGATGTGGGTATGAATAAACTACTTATAGAGGGAAGTGGTTAGAGCTGCACCATCCAATATGGTAGCTACCAGCCACATGTACCTATTTGAATTTAAATTTAAGTTAATTACAATTAAATAAAATTTAAAATTCAGTTTCTCAATCACACTAGCCACATTCCAAGTAACTACACATGGCTAGTGGCCACTGCTTTGGACAGCACAAATAGAAAACATTTCTCTCAGTACAGAAAGTTCTATTGGACAGTTCCGGAGACATTCTTGACTATCAATACTCCAGCCACCCTGTATTTGGGGCAGGGTTCAGGACAGGAGTCGAATACTAAGACTTCTCAAGTGGGCATGGGGATTCCTGATAAAACTCTATGGAGGAGGCAGCCTTAGGGTGGAGAAACTCACAAACCCTCATGTTTAAAGCCAGGCTGAGCTTCTGCCTCCAGGAGAAGGAAACAAAACTTCAAGTTAAAGATGAAAACTATGTGGCCACTCACCTGGCTCCAGCTTCACAGCCCCTCAGCTCCGGGTCCCCCACTCACCTGGCCCAAGCTCTGCCTCCCTGTCTTCTGCAGAGCCACAATGGCCCTTCGCAGGGGGTATCCCAGGGCGACCACTGGCCCGATGAGGTCTTGCTCCTCCTGGCTCAGGGCGGACAGCAGGTCAGCCGCAGCATCAGGGTGTGATCTGTGCGTGTTGAGAGGCTGGGGTGCCTCCCCAGGAGGCGGCAGGCTGGTGTACGGGCTCAGGGACTGAAATTCAGACAGGCTGGACATGTCAGTTATCACAGGAAGTGACACCCAGTTGGGCTGGACATTTTAAAAAGCGCCTTTGCATACCCCCTTCTCTACAGAGTAAGAGCTGATACTGTGGAGGGTGTGGGGTCCTGCAGACCCTGCTCCCCACTGTCCCCGCTGGCTACTCAGTTTCCTCATCTGCAAGAGGAAGGCAACCACAGAAGCTACCTCGCAGGATTGGTATGAGGCTTAAATAAGCCCATGTGAGAAAAGGGACTGCCAAGGGCCTGGCACGCAGAAACTGTCAGCAAATGCTAACATGTCATCGGTTGCTTAGAACACCCTGCAAAAGAAATATGATAGAGCCATCCTATTATCCCATTTTACAGATATTGAAATTGAGGTTCAGAGAAGTTTAATGACCTGATAAGCAGCATGGGCTTAGGACCTGAATCCTATTCACAGGAATTTTTTACCCCATAGCTTAGTGAGGGGGGAGCAGGGGTGGATCTTCCCAGCCAGACCCTCCTTCTTGAGTTCGGCTAGGCTGGGGCTTGGCAGGGCGCGGAGCAGGATAGGAACTGGGCACCCCCCCTCAGCTGTGGTGCTGGAGAGACCCAAAGAGATCCTGGATTAAGGAGGGTGGCTTGAAGGCATTTCAGTTGGCTTGGCCAGCATCCTCTCATCTCCCGTAAGGAAGTCCCCCTCTGCCAGCCCTGAACCTCCTGTCCCCTCCTCCCAAGGAAAGCCCAGCTGCTATCCTGGCTCCTGGGGCGGAGTGAGTATGTGAGGGATATGAATTCCCTACCCACCCCCCTCTTCTCAGGGGCTTCCCTGCCATGAACTTGCCCTGGGCTCTGCCCATAACCTCCAGGGTGGACAATAACCAAATTTCAGGAGCCGAGTCTGCTCTTGCATCCTTGAAAAAATTCTTAGCCACCCTCTGCCTCAGTTTCCTATCTACAGAATACTGCCCCATCCCTCCCACAGGGCTGTTGCTAGAGTTAAATTAATCCTGACCCAGGAAGAGCCTTCCCGGTAACAATGTCTGGTCTTTGATGTCGGCAGCGCCTGTCCGGCTCACAGAACTTCTCTTCCTCCACATTTGCTCTAAACAACTGCGGGAAGGGCTGCTGGCCCACTTCACAGGCAGAGAAGGGGTGGCTCAGTGACCTGCCAAAGCTCACACACCAGTGAGGAGGAAAAGCCAGCCCTCAAGTCTCTGTCTTTTGGATTTAATTTCACCTTGGCCTTACTCTGCAGCGTCTCCCAGCCTGAGCATGGGGGTGCTGGGGGCCAGAAAGCCATGCCCAGCTGCCACCTTCTACTAATCCTGACCCACCCCCATCTGCTCTGGATCCAGGTTTTGTGGAGTCTGATACTCATACAATTTGGAAGAGACCTTTTAAAGAAAAAGGACAATTATGAATAAAAACAAATTGGGTACTATTAATGCAAGACCTTGGAAGGGACAAACTGAGTGGCCTTAAACTTCTTTGGCTTCATTTCTGCTCCAGGTTCTTCCTGGTTCACCTCTTCCATCCTGAAGCCTTCCCAGCCTGCAGCAGCCCTCGCCTCTCCATCTCGACACCCCACCCCACTACTCAGTGCTGGGCCTTGTCCCACACCCCCTTGGCCAACTCTTTTTGTCCTGGGTTTTGACCTTCTCTGGCCCAGCCCAGTGTCTGGCAGGAAGTGACAGTGAGTGGGCACTCCCTGAGGGAGCCTCCTGCCGCCAGCCTGCAGCAAACCTCACCAGCGGGAATCCCCTGGTTTCAGTCGCTGTCATTGACTCAACATGCATTCATGGAGCACCCCCTATGGGTCAGGTCTGCTCTGGGAACGAGCATGAATTGCGACGCAATCCCCATCCTAAAAGAACCCAAATTCCAGTGGAAGAGACAGACAGGTACTGGATAATCACAGTCATTGTGACAGGCGCCCTAATAAAGGCTAAAGGCAAGGCAGCCACGCGGGAAACGGAGGGAAAGGGGGCTCTGAACAGGGGTCATCTAGACAAAGGGCTGCGGGAAGGACAGCGCTACAGGCCCCGCGTGGGAGCCGGTTAGGGCAGGAAGCAGGAGCGCGGGCAGGAGGGGACGAGGCTGCGGGCCGGGCTGGGGACGCAGATGATGGGGGCCTTGGCTACTGAGCTGCGACGCTAGAAGGGCGGGCGGCGTCCTCACCGCGACTGTGGGCTCGTGGCTCCGCAGCGGGGGCGCGGCGCCGGCCGTGGATGGCCGCGGGGCCGGCTCGGAGGCGCTGGGGAGCTGGGACGCGGACCCCGGGGGTGGCAGGGGGCCGGCGCACAGGCTCAGCGCCCGGTGGCCGCGGAAGCGGTGCAGCAGGGCGCGGGGGCGAGCGGCCAGCCTGCCCTCGGAGAGCCGCCGCCGCGCCCCGGCCAGCTCCGACCTCAGGCCGCGCAGCACGTCCAGCGAGCCCAGGCGATGGCGGGGCCCGGGGCTCGCCGGGGAGCCGGGCTGGGGGTCGCAGGGGCCCGGCTCTTCCTCGCTGGCGGAGGAGGCTTCTTCCCCGTCCTCCTCGTCCTGCTCGGGCCACTCCTGGGGTCCAGCCTCTGGGTCTTTGGTTGCGTCAGGCGCAGGCGCCAGTCTGCATTCGGGGCTGACCAGCAAGAACCAGGCCGGAGGGGCTGATGCGGTCCCCGGGTCAACGCACTGGTACGGGCAGGATCCCCAGACGGCGGCCTCCACCCAGAAGAGCGCCCTCCTCTCCAGGCTGAAGTCATGCTGCGGAGAGAAGGCGACCGACGACTTAAGGCCAGCTGAGGGGGGACAAACCAGAACCTAGGGGCGCATCCCTAATCCCCGACCTGGGGCACCCTGTTCAGCCAAAGACTGCGTAGGCCTGCACAGCTTCCGATTCTGAGCCCCGGGCATCCATCGCAGCCCACACCCACCCCCGGTTTTAGCCAACACTGTGGCAGATTGATATCAATGACAGTTTAATGGCAAATTCTGGCATGAAGTATAGTGAGTTAATAGAATGAAATGTAGTGGAATCCGATATCTAAATCCCTTTGCCATTCAGTGTGTGGTTGAACAACAGATGCTTAAAAATATTCTCCAATAAAATTTATTCTTAGCAAAGCAGCTTTAAGGGGAGTCCAGCACCATTTGCCTTGGAGATTGTCCAGGGCGGCCAGGCACACGAACCTCCCTATGGAGTAATCCCTGACCCCACACCCCATGGCAATCCAAGGTTACTTTGGGGCCCAGGAAATGTGATAATCGCTAATCTTTGTTGAACTCTACTTAGTATGTTCTAGTGTCATTCCTATTTCCAGATTATGAAAATGAAACTCAGAAAACTTCATTTGCTAGAGGACAGGTCGGCGATGAGTGGCGGAGCTGGTGGTATTCATTCCTCTCTCCTCCTGATGGCAGTGCTTTCTCCACTACATATCAGGCCACCTAAAAAACCAACCCGGAGTCCACATAATCTAACTTGAGAGTTTATAAAATGAGGCAAAAATAAAATATTCCTGTTTCCTACCTTTAAAATTAAGACTAGAAAACATAAACTCCATTAAAAATATAAAAAATGTTTGGCCGGGCTCGGTGGCTCACACCTGTAATCCTAGCACTCTGGGAGGCCGAGGCAGGAGGATCACTTGAGGTCAGGAGTTTGAGACCAGCCTGAGCCAGAGTGAGACTCCGTCTCTACTAAATAGAAAAATTATCCAGGTGTGGTGGTGCGCACCTGTTGTCCCAGCTACTTGGGAGGCTGAGGCAGGAGGATTGCTGGAGCCCAAGAGTTGGAGGTTTCAGGGGGCTACAATTTGATGCCACTGCACTCTACCTGGGGTGACAGGGTGAGATTCTGTCTCAGTAAAAAAAAAGAAAAAAATTAAATAAATAAAAATAAAAATAAATTTAAAGGCAATTTGCTATACCATGGCCAGTTAAGAGAGAGAGGCTCAGGGAAGTGGTGTTGGGGGTGGGGAACAGGTAGGCAGAAAGACAGGCATGGACACTCAAGACATGCAGATCATAGGCACTCACCCCTGACAGGACCCCACCTCAGGGAGGGGAGCATAAGGTAACTTCTCCAGTGGGACTCCCTGCCGCCCTCAGGGACTGTGTCTTATTCCTCTCTGTATCTTCAAGGCCCAGGGTCAGCCTGGCACAGATTGAACATTTATAAGCATGTGCAGAACAAATGGTTAGAGAAAGAGATTGGAACAAAATAGGTAGTTTGTGTAGGACAGGGGGAAAAAGGCGACTTAAGAGCTAATAAGGCATACTTGGACAGAAAGAGCCCAAGAAAACAAGAGAGACAGCCGGTGGGTCTTAGAGGGATAAAAGGATACAAAGACCCAGTAAAATATCGTTGATTGATTTTGGAACTATGTGAGATGATTCTAAAGTTCATATGAAAAACAAGATTAGCCAGAAAAACTCTGGGGACAAAAATATAAATAAGGGTAACTGGCCCTACCAGATGTTAAAATATATTATCAAACCTCAATAACAATAACTATGGTACTGGCACAGACAGATTAAAGGTACATAATAGAAAGTCCAGAAATAGACTTTAAAACATATGGGGATTTAGTAAATAATAAAGGTGGCATCCCAAGAAATATGAAAAGAAGTGACTGGTCTATAAATAATGTTAGCTAGCTAGAAAAAAAAAAGTTGGATCCATTCTCACACTGTACATATACAAGGAGGAATTCTAAAAGGATCAAAGATTTAAATGTATCATGTAAAACCATAAAAGTACTAGGAAAAAAGAGAAAAATCCTTTATAATCTCAGGAGGACAAAGCCTTTCTCACTTTGGATCAAAATCCAGAATCCATTTTTAAAAAAGATAATTCTACTACACACACACACACACACACACACACACACACACAATCTGCATGGCAAATACACTGCTAAGGTCAAAAGACAAGTAACAAACTAACACCCAAATCACAGACAAAGGACTAACTTCGCCAATACAGAATGCTGGGAAATAGAAAAGAAAAAGAGCAACAGTCTAACAGGAAAATGGGCAAAAGATATGGCCGGTCACAGAAAAGAAAACACAAATGGCTCGTAAACATATGAAAAACTGCTAAGCCTCATTCATCAGAAAAGAAAGGCAAATTAAAACTATACTGATCCTGAATCAAGGACTAGAGACAGTAAGAGAAACATAAAAAAGAAAAAGGAAGAGAAAAAATTATAAAAAAGAACAACAATAAAGAAAACAACCTGCACTGAGATCCCATTTGCTTATCCCTTGGCAGACCCAGTCTGCTGTCGGGGCGTCTGGGGGAAAAGGCACTCCTATAATGCTAGCTAGGATGTCAGTCACCACACCCAATGGAGGGCAATTTGGATGCACTCACACAAATTCAAAAGGACATTTGCATATAGTCCTCGGTTTCCTGCAGACATTCTTCTATTTTTTAGTAATGTCAGACTGGGGACAACCAAAATGTCCATCAAGAGGGACTTTGTTTCAATAAAGTATCATATATCTTAATAATGTAATACTATGCAGTGAAAAACAAAATTGAAGCAGCTTTCTATATACTGATATAGAAAGATCCTAAAATACATTAAGGAAAAAATCAAGAAGAATAATATATATAAAATATTACATTTTGTATTAAAAAAGGAGGAAATGGTTTTATTTGCTTGTATATACACACGAGAACCTCTGGGTGAATACATTAAAAATGAATAACAGAGGTCACCAGGGAGGGGGTAGAGGTGGGGAACAGGGCGCATGGGAAGGTATCAGAGGGAGGCTTTTCACTCAGCCAGGGTAGGCAAACTGCCTGTGGCCAAACTGACCCCACCCTGTTTTTGTTTTGTTTTGGGTTTTTTTTGAGACAAGAGTCTCCCTCTGTTGCCAGGGGTAGAGTGTCATGGCATCAGCCTAGCTCACAGCAACCTCCAACTCCTGGGCTCAAGCAGTCCTCCTGCCTCAGCCTCCCGAGTAGCTGGGACTACAGGCATGTGCCACCATGCCCGACTAATTTTTTCTATATATATTTTTAGTTGTCCAGCTAATTTCTTTCTATTTTTTTAGTAAAGATTGGGTCTTGCTCTTGCTCAGGCTGGTCTCAAACTCCTGAGCTGAAATCATCCACCCTGCCTCGGCCTCCACAGTACTAGGATTACAGGCGTGAAGACCCATGCACCCTGGCTTCCACCCTGTTTTGGTAAATAAAGTTTTATTGGAACACAGTCATAACCACCCATTGTGAACATATTGCCTATATCTCTTTCTCCCCACAACGGAATAGTTAAGTCATCACCACAGAGTTTTTACTATTTGGTCCTTTACAAAAAAATGTTTGTCAACTTCTGCGCTTGCACTCTCTCCTTCTCTCTCTCTTCTAGTACTATAATATATATATAAGAGAGGAGAGATTAAGGGAAACTAGAAACAACAAGCTTTAACTATGGAAGGAAGGGCTTCTTGGGAAGCAACAGGCAGAGAAACAGACATGGCTTTGGGTTTGACAGAATTAGTGCTGGAACTCTGGCTGTGTCATTCATAAGCCATGTGGCCCTGTGGGTCACTTGGTGGGGAGCTTTGGTTTCCTGTCCATGGTATAGGAATACTCACTTTCTAAAAGGATCATCATAAAAAGGAAAGAAGAGCAAATGTATGAAGACACTAGCACAGGCCTGGTCACAGTAGATGTTCAATAAATGGTAGCTGGTTTTTTCCCTTTAGGCACTGTGTATTCACCTGGTAATCTACCTCATGTATAACGTTGTTATGGGTCCCATTTTTTTTTTTGAGTCAGAGTCTCATTTGTTGCCCAGGTAGAGTGAGTGCTGTGGCACCGCCTAGCTCACAGAACTCCCCTGGGCTCAAGCAATCCTTCCTGCCTCATACTGAGTAGCAGGGACTACAGGCCATGCCCCCCATGCTCGGCTAATTTCATATATATTAGTTGGCCAATTAATTTGTTCTACTATTATAGAGAGACAGGGTCTCGCTTGCTCCAGGCTGGTTGTCGAACCCTTGACCATTGAACAATCCCACCATGCCTCAGCCTCCCAGAGTGCTAGGATTACAGGCGTGAGCCACCGCGCCCAGCCAGTGTCCCATCTTTCAAGTGCCAAAGGCTGGGAATACATCCTGGTGAAGCTGGAGGATTGACCAGGGCAGGCTGTAAATCATATTTGGAGTCCCCTGCTTTTCTATTTATTAGTTGGGCCCAGCAGTAAAAGAAATGGAGGCCCAGGAAGGGAAACAGGCTCAAGGGAGAGCAGTTGCCCACCCTAAGCGTACGGGGCAGAGCCAGGGTCAGCGCGTGGCGTGGCCTTGGCAGAGGGTGCCCATTTCTGCTTCTAGGAGAGGTAACCTTCAGAATAGCCTCTTCTCAGTGTGGCTTGAGCTCGGGAGGGAGAGAAAAGCTGTGATAATCCCCCTCTACTGCAGGCTTAATAAAGCATGTTCCTCTTCTCAACAACGAAAGCCCTGTGAGAGAATAAGAGTCCACAGCACAGGCTGCCAGGGGAGAGCGAGAGCTCCTGCCCAACAGAGCATGGCCCCTGGACGTGGTGCTCTGAGCTTTACAAAGCTTATTTCCGTTCTGGAAGCCCTGGAACTGAGGGAGCCTCAGCGCAACTCTAAGGTCTGCAAATAAAGCAAAATTGCACGGGCCTTCCCCTGCACTGCCAGGCCACCCTGGCCCCTCCCCCAACCCCTCCCTCAGCCCCTCCCCAGGTCTCTCCTTCCTGGACTGATCTCTGCTTCTGACTTCCCTGCAACAGCCCTACCTCCTTTTTTTTTTTGCCTTCAAACCTTACCTGCCCTTTAGCTCTCATATTCCAAGTCCTACTCTTAGCTAGTATGAAATGACCTGGAGTCAGGACCTGGGTTTTAGTCTTGTCACTGCCACTAACTTTAGAAGAATCATTTCTCTTCCTTGGGCCTCAGGTTTCTCATAGGCAAACTGAGTGAGAGCCTAACTAGATTCTCAATTTTTTCTATGAAGAACCCTGCAGACAGTGGGGAGTAAATATACAAGAGTCTGGGGACCCAGCCCCAAGGGGCCAATACCAGCTTCAGCTCCTTGCAATATTCTTCGGTTTTCTTAAATTCATGCAAATTTCACATCCCACCCCAAGATGTATCTGTGTTATAATGTAAATGAAATAGATTTGCCCCCTAAATCTTCAAGTAAACTTGAATCTTCAGGAAGTTTAATCACTTTTATCCTGAGGTCACTTGTGCCACGACTGCATTCCCTGGGAGTGTGCGTATCCCAGTGTGTAGGCCCCAGGAGGCCTGCGGTGCACCAAGGCCACCTCCAGGGCAGACGGGCTGTGGGTCTGTGGAACAGCAATCCCTTCCAGTGTGCCCCATGTAACTGTATGCATTTTAACAGGGGGTTCTGGAGACAGTGTCTTAGTCCAAAGAAGTGATTCTAATGGTGGAATTTTAGACGTGGCAGTAGGCTGACAGGGAGGAGAGGAATTGGAGCATCCTTGCAGTGATTTTCAGTCACCTCACGGGAGGCAGCCTCCCAAGGATCTATCCTAAGCTTAAAACAAGACCCGTTAAACAGTCCTCATCACCCAGCCGCCAGCCTTCTTCACAAAACACATTTTCCTCTATTGGGTTATTTCCAAACTCCACAGACTGTACAATAGCGGGCCTAGCTGCCCTTTAAAATCAAGAAACAAGGCCCCCTGGGGCCCAGCCTCAGACCCACAGCCCCAGGAGGTGGACAGAGACACACTTACCATAGAACCCAGCAGAAGCTCCCTGCAGGCCGGGACGCTGAGCTCTGGCCCAGGGAGAGGTTCTGTGTCTATCACAAAGCCCTTGGGCACCTTGAAGGGAACACCGTCCAGGGCGTTCATTCTGTCAGAGGAGTGTGGAGATGGCTGAGCGCGGTTGGGGCAGGACGCCTGGTGGCAGGGAGAGATTGTCAAGTCCCGAGGACCAGGCTCAGGCCTCAAGTGGCCTCACTGCTATCCTGTGGGGTCACTTAGCTGAGCCCCACACAGCTGGAAAGGAAAGGTGAAGTGGCCAGTGCTGCATAAGGGAGGAAATGGATAAAAACAAGAGCATTCACACTGACAGGAACTGCAATTTTATATGTAAGTCATGCTCTAGACCACTGTTTTCCAAAACATGGCCCACAACACTAGTTCTAAAGCATTTCATCAAAAGAGTTGTCACCCAAATGTTTAAGAAACAAATAACATCAATTTACATAAACTCTTCCAGAGAAGAAGAAAATAAGGAATACTTTTTTTTTTTCTTTTTTAGACACAGGGTCTCACTCTGTGGTCCAGACTCCAGTGCAATAGTATGATCATAGCTCACTGTAACCTCCAACTCCTGAGTTTAAGGGATCTTCCCACCTCAGCCTCCTGAGTAGCTGTGACTACAGGCATGCACTACCACATCTGGCTAACTTTTAAAAAAATTTTTTTGTAAAGATGGGTGTCTTGTTACGTTGCCCAGGATGGTCTTGAACTCCTGGTCTCAAGTGATCCTCCAGCCTCAGCCTCCCAAAGCATTGGGACTACGGGCATGAGCCACCATGCCCAGCCTGGAATGCTTTCTAGCTCATTTGGATTTTAGCATAACCTTGATACCAAACTTGATGAGAAAATTAGAAGCCAATCTCTTGTGAACATAGATACAAAAATAATAACAAAAATAATTATGTCTCACACCTGAAATCCCACCTCTTTGGGGGGCCAAGGTAGGAGGACTGCTTGAGACCAGAAATTCAAGACCAGCCTGGGCAATGCAGCAAGATCGCATCTCTACAAAAAATAAGAAAATTAGCTGGGTATGGTGGCACATGCCTGTAGTCCCAACTACTCTGGAGGCTGAGGTAAGAGGATCGCCTGAGCACAGGAGTTTGAGGTTGCAGTGAGCTATGATCACACCACTGCACTCCAGCCTGGGCAACAGAGTGAGACCCTGTCTCTAAAAATTAATTACACATGGAATAAAATAACCCTGACAAGCTGAGCTTATTCTAGGAACGACAGACTGGCTTACCCCTCCAAAGTCAATCAATGAGAATAAAGATAAATACCAATAGAATAAAGGTGAAAAATTGTATAGTTATGTATCTCCACAGATACTTTTTTATACTTGATGAAATCAATATCCATTTATGATTTTAAGAAACAACAATCCCTTTTAGAAAATTAGGAATAGAAGGGAATTTTCTTAACCTAAGAAAGAGTATCTCTAAAACATCTATAGCAAACATCCCACTTAATGGTGAAATACTGAAAGATATTCCCCAAATTGGAAATGAGACAAGGATGTCCTCATCATTTCTTCTGTTCAACATTGCACTGGAAGTACTAGCCTGTGCAAAAAGGGAAGGAAAATAAAAAATAAAGATTGGAAAAAAAGAAATAAAACTACCATTTACAGTTGACATTACTATATGAAGAAAATCCAAAAGAATCTATGGATAAAACTCTTAGAATTAATATGTTAATTTGGTAAAGTAATTGGATACAAGGTCAATATTAAAAAATCAATTATATCTTTATATACAAATAATAAACCATGTAAATAGTATCTTCTAAAAATTTCATTAGATATTGACATTTTAAAGAGATAACATTTATATTAGCATCAACTACCTAGGACTAAATCTAATACAAGACATCTACAAAGAAAACTATAAAATGTTACATTAAATAGAGGAACATACCATACTGAAGGATTGTAAAATTCAATATTTTAAAGATATCAATTCTCCCCAAATTGATTTTAGATCCCATGTATTACAATTCCATCTCATTTTTCGGGTATAAATTGGCCAGCTAATTCTAAAATTAAATGAAATGCAAAGGGCCAAGGAAAGCCAAGCCACTCTTGAAGAAGCAATATAGTAGAAGACTTAAGTCCAGAAACAGATCCACCCATATCGGGACCCTTGATTTATGACAAAATTAGCCCTGTAGAGCAGTAGGAAAGGGAAGGTATTTTTGATAAATGGTTCTGAATCAATTGGATATCTACCTAGGGGAAAACAATCTTGACCTCTCATATCATGCACAAAAGTCAATCCCAGGCAGACTATAGACCTAAATGGGAAAGGTTAAATAATAAAACTTGAAGACAAAATGAGAGACTATATTTATGGCCTTGGAATTGGCAAACATTTCTTAAGTTGCAAAAGGGACTAACCATGAAGGAAAATACTGATAAATTATGTAACATTATATTAAAGTTGAGAACTTCCATTTATCAGAAGACACCATTAAGAGTACAACAGAACAAAACAACAAATCATAGAGTGGGAGAATGTATTTGCAACACATCTATCTGAAAAAGGATTTATATCCAATATATACAAAGAACTTCTACAAGCAGTAGAAATAGGCTGTGTGTGGTGGCTCACGCCTATAATCCTAGCATTTTGGAGGCTGAGGTGGGAGGATCGCTTGAGGCCAGGAGTTCCAGATCAGCCTGAGCAAGAAGAGAGAACCCTTCTCCACAAAAAAAATAGACAAATTAGCTAGCCATGGTGGCACACGCCTGTAGTCGCAGCTACTTGGGAGGCTGAGGCAGGAGGGTCACTTGAACCCAGGAGTTTGACGTTACAGTGAGCTATGATAATGCTACTGCACTCTAGGCAGGGTGACAGAGTGAGACTCTGACTCAAAAAAACAAAGCAAAACAAAACAAATAAATAGGTAAGAGATTTTAATAAGGACTTTACAAAAGAGTATATCCAAATAAACAATAAACATATAAGTTGTTTATCTTCTTAAGTCATCAGGGAAATGCAAAATAAAACAATGGAGATACCACTATACACACGTAAAACCATGAATGGTTAAAACAGTGTTGATGCAGATGTGGAACATCTGTAGCTCTCATGCACTATTGGTAAGAAAGTACCAAGAAAGTATCAATTAGTATTAGTCAACAGTATCTACTAAAACTGAAATCCAAGAATTAAAAACTCATTCACATATCACTTTCTTGGTCTTTTGGCTAAGATCAAGTATAGTATCTGTTCTTAGTTTAGTAATACAACAGTCAGGAGTTCGATTTTTTAATGTACTTTAAACCACATTAAATATTGAGCCTATTGCATTCAGAAAAAAAAAAAAGGAAAAAAAGTCATGCACATAGAATTTAAGCTCTTGACTACCTATAATATATAATTAAATCTAGACTCCTGGCCGCAGTCCAGCATTCTGCAAACAATCAGGGCTTACCAGGGAGCGCCTCTGGCTCAATACAATCTGTCACCCCTGCCAGAATGACGCAAAGCCCTGCTCCTGAGGTCACTGCGGTCATCCTTTTCCCCACATGAGAGTACCACGTGGAGAGGCAGCGTGGGTAATCTGAGTGCAGAGAGGTCAAATGAAGGCAAGGGGGCAAATCCCTTAATTCCCTCCTCTCCTCCCCATCTGCCCATTCTTGTCAGTGCCTTACTGTACATAAGACTCAAAGGCTTCTCCACCCCTGGCCTATAGCCTGTCTCACAGCACATCAGGAAGCAGCTCTTCATGCTGCCTTCTTGGTACAGGATCAGGCAGGTCCCAGTATAACCAATAAATTGTCTCCCTCATCAGCCCGTTCTTTCATAGGGGAACTCTGAGGGTGTTATAGGAGACACAGGAAAGTTCAGCAAGTTTTGGCACTCTCAGATCTATGACTCACATTTTCAGCTATCATTTGAATTCTGAGCTATGGGGAAGGACCATAGTTCTACTGAGACCAGGTGTGAATTGCCTATCTACTTGGCAGGTATAGGACACCCATCTCCTCCACCTTCCACCCAGCATCTGCATCCTAATAGGCATTCTTCACTTAGCCCTATACTTGCTTTTGGAATAATTTAAGAGTTTGAGGATTCTGGCAACGTATCTCTTAAGAATGGCAAGGACTACAGTGAAAGGTATGCTCTAATTAGAACATACTCTTAACGAGCGCTAAGTATGAAATGAGAGGTACAGAGCATTAAGCAATAACATTCTTCAGAGGAAAGCAGTGTTCTAATCCTTATGGGAGTTGGAGAAGCTTCAGAAAACAGATGGGACTGGGCTTGGGCCCTGGAGCAGTCTGTGAGCAGGGAAAGAGTTGGATGGACAGCAAGACTCCAGGGAAGGAAGAGCTTGAGCAAGGGAGCAGAGGCAGGAGGCTGCTGCAGAGTGAGGGGGTGAGAAGCTGCTTGACTCAAGTGAGTCAGCAGTCTGTGCTGGGAAGCAGTGGGAGGTAAGATTGAAAGGGTAGATGGGGGTAGAGCTGGGGAGGATTTTTAGCTGTAGGCAGAGTGCTGACTATTCAGTAGGTGGTAGAGTAAGCTTGTAATAGGCCTGAGGGTGTAGGGTGGGGTGGGAACATTAGCAAAGCCAGGCTGAGCATGCTTCGCCAGACTGTGTAACTCAGGGCTTCTCAAACACCAGTGCATGGATCTGTGCCCATTTGGCTGCATCTGAGCATAGGGGTTGGGAGTTGGGTGGGTGGAAGTTGTGGTAATTGGTCTAGGTAGAGCCCAGGCAATGGCATTAGCACTGTCTAAATGACTTCATCCTTGCCCATAGCTTCAATTACCTACCAATGATTCACACAAATTCTCTAGTTCTTTTCTCAGAGCAAACTCATAAACACAACTGCCCACAAGGCATCTCCCCCAAGAAGTCTCAAACTCATCATATGAAAAGTGAATTGATTTTTCCCTCTTCCAAACTGCCTCTCCCCTGCAGAGGGTTTCTTGTCTCAAGGAATGGTGACATTGAGCCAGGTACACAAGGATTCACCCCTGACACTTTTCTCTCCTTTACCATCTCCCATCTCAACCCCCATGCCAAGTTTTACCTCCCAAACCTCTGGACTCCAGCCACATCATGCTGTCTCCATTGCTATCATGGCAATCCAAGCCCCTATCACAGTATCTCTCACTTGGACAACTGGTCTGCATGTATCTTCACATGCTCTATTATTACAATTCTGCTCCACATGCCAAGGTAAGAGGGATCATTTCAAAACACAGAACTAAAGCCACTCTTATCTTCAAGGCCCAGGGTCAGCCTGGCACGAAGTGAACATTTTAAGCATGTCAGAACAAATGGATAGAGAAAGAAGCTTGGAACAAAATAGGTAGTTTGTGTAGGGACAGGGGAAAGAGGCGACTTGACTAGACATACTGGACCATAACAGAAGCCCACAAGAAAACAAGAGAGCAGCCCGGGGACTTAGAGGATAAAAACAAAGACCGAAGACAGTACCGTTTTGATTTTGACTATTGGATGATTCTAGGTGAAGTTCATATGAAAGACACCAAGATAGCCAGAAAAACT